CCATGCCCATCTACCTTAAAGGGGGTCTGAGGCTGTCTGGCAAGCCCATTACACGGTTTGGGTCCATTCTCTTTGCCATGCTCTGGGGTGGTGAATTCATACCTTCTCTTTTCTTCTTCGGTCTCAGCACCCCCTTCCTGCTCTTCACTCAGCTGAAGACACCGCTTCTTGTTTCTCTGGATAAATGGAAGCCATCAGGGGAAAGCTTCCTAAGGCTCCCATCACAGACCTAGCGCCAGCTAGGCCTACTCCCAGCTACTTGGGAGGCTGAGGCAGGAGAATCGCTTGAACCCAGGAGGCAGAGGTTGCAGTGAGCCGAGATTATGCCACTGCAGTCCAGCCTGGGCTACAGACTCTGTCTCAAAAAAAGCAAACCAAGCCAAGCCAAAACAAACCAAAACAAAAAACCATACTCTTGTCAAGGTCACCGGTGATCTCCACTTTGCCAATGTCAAAGGTCTGTTTTCACTCCTTATCTTCACAAACTTACCTGCAGCATTTGACTAACCCAGCTAGCTAAGCCGTTGCCCTTGACACGCTTTCTTCCCTGGCCAGGACCCTCCTGTACTTGCTTCCTCCCACGTGGGCCCTCTCTGGTCTCCTTTCTTGCTTTTCCTCCCCACCCTGACCTCTGCTCCTGGCACATCTAGGGCTCTTCTCTCTCTACACTTATCCTTGGGGATCTCATCCAGATGCCTGGTTTTGAAAATCGTCACATTTTGTTGGTTCCTAAGGGTGTGTTTCTAGTCTCCACCGCGTCCACCTCTTGCATCCAAGCCACTTGATGCTACGCTGTACATAGGATGCTACAGGATAGCTCACAGGCATCCAACGCGTCCAAAACTGAGCTCCTAGTTTCCCTTCCAAAGCTGCCCTCTTAGACTCCTCCCACTTCATTAAATGACAGCTCCAGTCTTCAAGTTGCTCAGGTAACAACTTTGGAGTTGGCCGGGCGCTGTGGCTCACGCCCGTAATCCCAACACTTTGGGAGGCCGAGGCAGGTGGATCACGAGGTCAAGATACCGATACCATCCTGGCCAACATGGCAAAACCTCGTTTCTACCAAAAATACAAATATTAGCTGGGTATGATGGTGTGCGCCTGTAGTCCCAGCTACTTGGGAGGCTGAGGCAGGAGAATCACTTGAACCCGGCATGCAGAGGTTGGGGTGAGCCGAGATCGCTCTACTGCATTCCAGCCTGGAGAAAGAGTGAGACTCCATCTCAGGAAAAAAAAAAAAGAAAGAAAGAAAAACAAAAACAAACTTTGGAGTTACTCTTGAATCCTTTCTTTTACTAAAGGCCCACATTTAATCAGCCAATTGTGTCAACTTTACCTTCAAAATCTATCTGGAGTCTGAGCCCTTGTCCCCACCTCCACTGGACTTCCCTGCTGCCACATGTCCTTTCTCCTAGCGATTGCACCAGCCTCCTAACCTGCCCTTTGCTTCTACCCTGGCCTCCCCTGGTCCGTACTTCATGCAGAAGACAGATCGGTTCCTTTACAATGCAAAGAGCAGTCCTCTGCTCAAACCTCCATCAGCTTCCCATCTCCCAGAGAGAGCTGAGGAGGCCCCTCAGGAATAGCTCTGGACATGCCCCTACTATAGCCCCTCGGATCTGCCCCTGTTTCTGTACTCTGTTCGGCGGCCACCTTGCTGTGGCTGAGCAAGCCCGCCGTGCTCCCGCATCTCAGCATTTGTGCTGGCGGTTTCCTTTGCCTGGAACACTCTGCTCACAGATATTGGCACAATCACTGTCTCCTCTTAACCAATCTCAGCTCAAATGTGCCCTCTTCAGTGAGTCCCCTCTTCCGACTCTCTAAAGTAACAGCCGCCTCTTATGCTCACGTGAGGCTATCATGAAGCTGTTTTCCTCCCAACACTCAGTGTTATCTGAAATAATCTTATTTATTTCTTTGTGTATTGCTCATCCTATCTACCAGAATGGAAGCTTTATGGCAGCACAAACTGTCCCAGCGGCTAGCACAGAGCCTACCTCATGGCGGTCAGGGCTGCCACAGAAGGTTGTAAAGGTTGTTCACTGCATTAGAGCTTCCGGCCGAGGAGCCGCAGGTGCTGATACCCAGTCTGCCCTCTGTTCCCACGATGTGGGGCCATCCAGCAGGTTGGCATCTGCTATTTTGCAATGTGTGACATATGGGCTGGCTGTGACTCTGGTGGCCATTCAAAAAATATTCACTGAATGATGGATGTGCAGACTGTCTGCTTGTTTTCCTCTGCAGGGCTTCATGCCAGTTACCTTCTCAGAGCCTCATCTTCCTTTTCTGTTAAAGGGACAGTTAACATCTATCTCATAGCATGGTTACAATGATTAAGTGAAATTGTTCATTAAAAAGCTGGCACAAATGAGATTCCATTTATATGAAATATCCAGAACAGGCAAAGCCATAGAGATCGAAAATAAATTAATGGTCGAAAGGGACATGGGGAGTAATATACTGCTTAATTGGTCAGGAGTATCCCTTTGGGGTGACGAAAATGTTTTAGAACTAGAGTGATGGTTGTATGACATTATGAATGTACTAAACACTACTGAATCGTGTACCTGAAAATGGCTAACATGGGGAATTTTATGTACTGTGAATTAGGTTATGGAATATGAACACCTCAATTTAACAAAACCGGGCACAGTGTCTAGGACAAGGTAGGTTTTTTTTTTTTGAGACGGAGTTTCGCGCTTGTTACCCAGGCTGGAGTGCAATGGCGCGATCTCGGCTCACCGCAACCTCCGCCTCCTGGGTTCAGGCAATTCTCCTGCCTCAGCCTCCTGAGTAGCTGGGATTACAGGCACGCACCACCATGCCCAGCTAATTTTTTGTATTTTTAGTAGAGACGGGGTTTCACCATGTTGACCAGAATGGTCTCGATCTCTCGACCTCGTGATCCACCCGCCTCGGCCTCCCAAAGTGCTGGGATTACAGGCTTGAGCCACCGCGCCCGGCCGGTAGGTTTTTAATATCAGTTGAATTTCATGATTTCCTTGCTTCAAAAATAAAGTAAAACCCTAAGCCCTCCTTGGTGCCTCATTGCCCCATCCAGGATAATCCTCCTTTTCCTCAAATTCATTTCAGGAGTGTGTATTGTTGCCATTTTAGATATGAGGATATGATGGAAATAAGACAGATGCAGAGTCCTCCCCCAGAGTTTACAGGCTGGCAGGGGAAACTAAAGAGAAAATCACACTCCCACATGTTCAGGGATATAGGGGAGAAGGGCCACATTTGCAGGGACACAGGGGAGAGTGGCAAGGGCAGGAGTCCCAGGAAAAGGGAGCAGAGCCTGCAGAGCCAGGAAGATGAGGGAGCATGGTGGGTTCTGGGAATAGAAAATAGTTTGGTGGCCAGGCGTGGTGGCTCATGCCTGTAAGCCCAGCACTTTGGGAGGCTGAGGTGGGCAGATCACTTGAGGTCAAGAGTTTGAGACCAGCCTGGCCAACATGGCGAAAACCCATCTCTACTAAAAATACGAAAATAGCTGGTCATGTTGGTATGTGCCTGTAATCCCAGCTTGAACCCGGGAGGCAGAGGTTGTAGTGAGCTGAGATCGCACCACTGGATTCCAGCCTGGGTGACAGAGCGACTCTGTCTCAAAAAAAAAAAAAAAAAAAAAAAAAAGGAAAGAAAAGAAAAGAAAATAGTTTGGTGTAGCTGCCACAGAGGAGGCAGGAAAGGTGGGAAGGGATGACCCTGAGCGTTCAGATTTTATCCTAAGATCTTCAAGGCCAAGTGTGAACTGATCCCACCTTCCAGCCACAGTCCTACCATGCCTTGTTTGCAACCCCTCTCTGTAGCCCCCCCTTTATTTTTTTGAGACAGGGTCTTCCTCTGTTGCCCAGGCTGGAGTGTAGTGGCACAATCATGGTTCACTGCAGCCTAAAACTCCTGGGTTCAGGCAATCCTCCCACCTCAGCTTACTCAGTAACTAGGATTACAGGTGAGCTTTACCATGCCCAGCTAATTTTTGTGTTTCTAGTAGAGATGGGGTCTCCCTATGTTGCCCAGGCTGGTCTCTGACTCATGGGCTCAAGCAATCAACCTGCTCCGACCTCCCAAAGTGCTGGGATCACAGGCATGAGCCACCATGCCTGGCCTCTCTGCAGCCCTTGCTCCCACTGTGCCCTTTCTGTCCTTGTGAATTCGGGGCCTCGAGACCTTGGCGCCTGCTGTCCTTCCTCCCTTAGGTAGTTACGGGGAGGCTGCCCTGGGTTAGTACTGTGCTGGGAGCCCGCAGGCTGCTCAGGCCTGCCCCTCTGACCCCGGGAGAGCAAAGAATCGACAAGATAATGAGAAATGCTGTGATAGTGGGTGATCTGGGCGTGGAGAGTGGGGCTTGTAGGGTAGAGGGAGGGCTCAGGGAAGGTAACTCCTGAACTGGAACTCGAAGAACAAGGGGGATCAGGCCCAGAGATGAGGAGTAGGGCACAAGGGAATCAGAGAGCACCCGGGAGAGGTTCAGAGCCTGGCTGGTGGGGTCACAGGATCCTGAGGATCCAGGTGAAGGCTCAGCCCTCATCCAGATCCACCCCTCACTCCCTACACACTTACACATTTGACAGACAAGTTTGGAGTGTTCTTGGACTTTCTGGCTTTGCCTGGAGACGAATGTTCTCCCCGCCCGCCCTGGTTCCAACCCACCACCCTTACAGGCCTGCAAAGCTCCCTCCTCGACTCTGGACTTTGTACCAGCCACCGGAAGTTCACTTGTTTATCAGCCTGAGCACCTGCCTGCTGAGGTGTCTGCCCCTCTAGGGCCCGCGGGACCCTTCTCTGGGTCCCAGCTGTAGAAACCCCCAGTGTTAGGGGGTGAGAGTGAGGCATACACCCATAAAGTTCTTGGCAAAAGCTTGGGGAGATGTAAAATGAACCCTCCCCACTGGAGGCGCTGCCTGCAGCCCGCCCTCTGCCCGACCTGCAGCTGCAGCCCCGCCCCCGCCGCTTCTGCAGGTGAGTCAAGTTTGGCCTTGGCCCGCCCACCTGTCCAGGTTCTGCCGGCCCCAGCCGGAAGCTTATTCCGCGGACTGTACACAGTTCTTGAAGGTGGGAACGGAGAAGAAGGCCCGAGGGGCTGGGGAGGGGGTACCCAGGCCCTGCACAGATCCCCAGGGGCTCCTGGCAGCAGGAAAGAAGGTACACGACAGAGTGGGGGTAGGTGTCTGTGCATATCAGAGGGTGTGTTTACTGGTGGAGGAAAGTGTGACCTGGGGGGAGGGGCAGGTCAGTGTGGGCTGTGAGTTCAGAGGCCTGTTGTAGAGTGTATATGTGCCCTTGGAAGGTTAGTGTGTGCGAGTCTTCTTGGGCAGAATTCACAGGGACAGGACAGGGAAGAAAGGAATAGGAGTACGATCTTAGAAACGTCAGATTGAATTCAGTTAATCCCAGTATAGCATGTTTTTCGGACCTAGTGTTAGGATGAGGCCCACCGCAGGCTGAGGAATGAATGAGCAGAATGTTCCCAGGACGTCTCTCCCTCTCCCCTCATTAATTTCACAAGCACTGCACTGAGCAGCTGAGTGCCCAGCTCCCTGCAAGCACCAGCCCGGGTACAGATCCCTCAGCCAGCCCTTGCCCCCCAACCCCCAGGGAGCGGCCCACCTAGCAATGACTGGTTCTGACTGGTGGTTGACTGGGCAGGATGGTGACAGGTCACCCAGGGTAGATTCAGGGACAACCTCACAGGTAGGTATGGTCTGATTTGGCCTTGACAAACTGGGCCCCCCAAAGCTGAGGAGGGCGTGGCCAGGGAGCCGGAGGGTGGGTGAGTGGGGGGGGGGGCATGTGTGTCTGTCTGAAGTGCTGGGGAGGGAACTGGGAAGAAGAGGAAGAAGAGTTTGGCTTGAGGGCCATGTGCTGGATGGCAAGGCACCATGGGGCACAGGGAGCTTTTGAAGGGATTTTAAGCAGGCTAGTGATGGGGTCAGATTTGGGTTGTTAGGCCCATCACTCTGGGGAAGAGACCAGAGGTGGGGAGACCAGGGGAGATTATGGCTAGAGTACAAGGGAAGAATGGCTTGGACTCAGCTGCGGCAGTGGGGTGAAGAGGAGGGTACTGTCATTCCAGAAATGCTTAGAGGAAGAGCTGACGGGGCTTGATGCCAGGTTGGACGTGAGGAGGTAGGGGGGCATTTTGAAGGCACTTGTATCAAAGAATATGCCGGGGTACGCCCCTCAACTTCTCTCCTAGGTATTTCCCTAGCCTGGCTCCTCTGCCTCCAAGGACTCCCTGGTTCAGGGGCTCCACCTGCAGATACTCTCCAGCCCTAGCGTTCCTCCTCCAGGTACTTCTCTGACTTTCACGCTCCTCCTCTAGATACTCCCCAGATTCAGGTGCGCCTCCTCCAGACACTCCTTTGACCCAGGTGCGCCTCCTCCAGGTTTTCCAAGCCTAGATGACCTTCCTCCAGCTATGCCCTTAATTCAGGTATTCCTCCTCTAGGCGCCCCCAGCCCTGAGCGATCATTTCCTGATTCAGGTGATCCTCGTTTGGATACTCCCTGGCTTAAGCCTCCCTCTGGGGGCAGAGTATGGGCCTCCTGTGAGTAGAGGTTAATGGACAGGGGTTTGCTTGAAGGGTTGAAGGTGGAGGTGGGCAGCAGTGGCTTTCAACTTAGAGGGAGCGGGCCGGGCTGCTCTGGCTGTGTCCGGGGCCCTTGTCCTTGGTAGGGACTTGCATCATCCTCCCCATGTGTGGTCTCCGCTTTGGCCGTGTAGCTCCAGGCAACTGCTGTTTTCTGACCTTTGGGAGCCGGGACCCACCTCTGCCTCTGTCTCCTCCTCAGCTTACCAAGCAGTGCAACAGACTGGGCTCTGGGTTCGAATCTGGGGGCTCTGGTTGAGTCAGTTCACCTTTCTTAGCTTCAGAGCCCTCATCTATAAAGTGGGGATAATGTATATACCCATCTTACTGGGTTTGGTGAGCGTGATGCCTGGTGGCCCGAATTGTAAGGAATGCTCAGTAAGTTCTACAATTTATTTATTTATTTTTAAGCAGCTTCTAGAGCCAAACCCTGTGATGATCCGTTACAAATAGCCAGTTTCTGTAGGCTCAGCTTGTTTCTCTTCTGTGGACAGCTGTTGGGGTCAGGTGTCCAGGCCTCGGAGTTTGTGCAGTGCTACCATGGCTGTATGACCTGGAAAGTGCACCCTGTGATGGTCCCTGACACCCAGACCTATGTTATTTTCCAGGACTTGTGCCCTGGGGTTTCTTGGCTTCTTGGGGCCTCCTCAGACCCAGGGCTTTTTCTGGTGGAGGCTGAGACTCACTGGTGTCATCAGGCCCCTCCATGAATGAGACAAACAAAAGTGAGTGACAGTGGGAGGATGATGGGGGTGGGGGGGTTCCCCTTAGCTGCTGGGGTTGGGGGAAGGACCCTGCCTACATTCCTCTTGGCTCCTCCAGGGAGCCCCCTCTGGGGCCCACCTATAATGCTGTCCCTTTCTCTGCAGCACGTGTGGGGCCCTCGGAGCTCCCCACAGCATCCGCTGTGGCCCCCGGCCCAGGCACTGGGGCTACAGCATGGCCTGTGCTGGTAGGGGTTGTGCTGGGGGCTGTGGTCCTCTCTCTCCTCATTGCACTTGCTGCCAAATGCCACCTCTGCCGCCGATACCATGCCAGCTACCGGCACCGCCCACTGCCCGAGACAGGAAGGAGGGGCTGCCCACAGATGGCCGAAGATGAGGATGATGATGGCTTCATCGAGGACAATTACATTCAGCCTGGGACTGGAGAGCTGGGAGACAGAAAGTAGGGACCACTTCTCCCTCTGAGCGCTGGCGTTTGGACACCCCCTGCTCCCTTCATGCCCAACAGCTTAAGGACAGTGGTTATGACATCGGAGTCTTGAACCTCAGGGACAGAGGTGGCTGGGGCCTAAAGGTTGGCCAGGGATGGAGCAATCCCCACTTCCCTGACACTAGCCACCAAAGTGACAATGAACCCTCTCTTGCTCAATGACTCTCAATGGCTCCCTGCTGCTCTCAGGACAAAGCCAAACAAAGGCTTGAGTGTGGACTTAAGGCCCTCTGTGATCAGGCCTGTAGGCCTCTTGGCTTCTTTTCTTGCCTTCCCCTACTTTACTCATAGAATAAATGTTATTCTTCCCCCATCACTGCCCATGCAGTCTCCCCAGCCACCTTTGCTCACATTGGCCCACCTGCCTACACTGCTCTTCTAAATCCTCTCTGACTGTGATGAAAACCCTAGTCAGTAGGCCCTGTGTGACCTGCCTACCTGCCAGCATTACAAATGTGCCCAGGTGGTAACATCTGAGCAGGTGAAAACCAGTGCCAAGCTGCTTTTTCTTTTTCTTTTCTTTCTTTTTTTTTTTTTTTTTTTTGAGACAGAGTCTTACTCTTGTCACCCAGGCTGGAGTGCAATGGCACGTCTTGGCTCACTGCAACCTCTGCCTCCCGGGTTCAAGCAATTCTCCCTGCCTCAGCCTTTCGAGTAGCTGGGATTACAGGTGCACGCCACCACGCCCAGCTAAGTTTTGTATTTTTAGTAGAGACAGGGTTTCACCATGTCGGCCAGGCTGGTCTTGAACTCCTGACCTCAGGTGATCTGCCCACCTTGTCTTCCCAAAGTGCTGGGATTACAGACGTGAGCCACTGCACCAGGCCAGCTTCTTAATGCAATACTTTCCTATCAATAAAGTGGGTAATCTGGTTATAATGTTTTTCACAGGAATTAATCTATTTTCATTTTGAATAAAAATAAAAAGTTGTCACTCATTTCTGTTTTTCCTGAGCTGGGCTTTATCACTCAGAGCTAGAAGACACTGCTCCCATGTTACCCCTTCCAGGACACTTTCCATGAGCCTTTTCCTCTAATAACACCTTGCGGGTTTCTCTAGTATTGTCCTGCCTACATCTTATTTTCATCTTTTTGTTTGTTTGTTTTGAGATGCAGTCTTGCTCTTGTCGCCCAGGCCAGAGTGCAATGGCGCAATCTTGGCTCACTGCAACCTCTGCCTCCCAGGTTCAAGTGATTCTCCCACCTTAGCATCCTGAGTAGCTGGGATTACAGGTGCCCACCACCATGCCCAGCGAATTTTTGTATTTTTAGTAGAGACGAGGGTTCGCCATGCCGGCCAGGCTGGTCTCGAACTCCTGACCTCAGGTGATCCACCCACCTCGGCCTCCCAAAGTGCTGGGTTTACAGGCGTGAGCCACCTATTTTTTTTTTTTTTTTGGACACAAGGTCATCCAGGTTGCAGTATGGTGGGGCAATTACAGCTCACTGCAACATCAACCTCCTGTGCTTAAGTGATTCTCCCATCTCAGCCTCCCAAGTCGCTGGGTATACATACATGTGCCACTGCACATGGCTAATTATTTTTGTGGAGATGGGGCCTCACTATATCGTCCAGGCTTGGTTTGAATTCCTAGACTCTAGCCATCCTCCTGCTTCTGCCTCCCAAGGTGCTGGGATTTACAGGCATGAGCTAGATTTAGATTTAGATTTCCAGGTCTGGACCCTTCTTTGTACTAGTCCTTCTTTCTGGGATACTCTTTCCAACCTTTCTAGCTGGGCCAGCTGCTTCTCGTCCCTAGGTGGCCAATTGAGATTGACTGGCTATTTCTTTTCATTCTTTTTCTTCTATGGCCAATCCCTGGCTGCACACGGCAGCCAGCAAGTCCCAAATCCTGTTTGGGCCATGGTACCCTACTCCCCTGGTGGAAGTCTTTCCATGTTTTCTAGTGTCCTGAGGACAAGGTCCAAATTCCTCTGCTGGGCTGCCAAGGCCATTGGCAGGAGTCAGGGAGGAGAGATTTGGTGGGTGCCGTGGTGAAGGGCTCCCGTCAGGGGTTGTTGCCTTCACATGAAGGGAGGAGGCTAAGTCTTCTGTAGAGAATGGTGTTGGGGGTGGGAGGTGAGCACAGAGGGAGGGGATGTGGTGGGATGGGGCGGGGTGGGGTGGGGGTTGAAGAGGGTAGAGAGAACTTCAGAGTCACTGCGGGCGCAGTAGCCGACCAGGACAATGCAGCATCACTGACAAGTTGCAGTGCAGATTCAGTTGAGAACTTTTTTTTTTTTTTTTTGTATTTTTAGTAGAGACAGGGTTTTTGCCGTGTTGCTCAGGCTAGTCTTGAGCTCCTGGGCTTAAGTGATCCACACTCCTCGGCTTCCCGAAGCGTGGGGATTACAGGCATGAGCCACCATGCCTGGCCTCAGCTGAGAACTTGATAGAGGAGTTCCCAGTGACAGTAGGCTGTCTGGGTGTGCAGATTTCTCTAATGGTCATTCACAGTGGGGCAGGGGCATCCAAGGCAGATGGGTGGATTTGTCCATGGAGGGGGTTTGGCTGGGAGGGTGGGACCCAAGGCAGGGGGCTAAGGACTCCGAGGAGTCTGTCAAAGAGCAGATGAAATGATGGGCCACAGAACCTTAACCAGATGGTCAGGGAAGTAGACAGGAGAGGGCAGTGAAGTCAGGAGGCAGCAGCTTTACAAAGAGAACAGAGATGCCAGTGGGCTTCTGGTTGCAGGGGAGGCAGCGAAAGTATGTATGTATGTATTCCCAGCTACTTGGGAGGCACACACTGCCATCGGGCCGTGCCGGAGTTCTTCATCCACCCAATAAAGAAGCTACTCTGTGTCAGGCCCATGCTGGGAGTGAGGGATACACAGATGGGCACAATGCCAACCTGGTTAGGACGAGCTCACCTGATCAAGGAGAGAGGCACAAAAAGAATTGCAGACGGGTCTACAATGGAGGGTGCTGTGGGCATAGAAAGAGGGCAACTCACTGGTCTAAGGGCCAAGGAAGACACCCTGGAGAACTGGTTCTTGAAGGACAAAGAAGGCAAAGAGAATGGAACATGTAAAGGCTGACAGAAGGGAGAGGGCCTGGGGAGTTGGTGGAAATAGTTCAGCAGGGCTGCTCATGGGGTTCTCTGAGTGAGACCAAACCAGGTTAGGGAGCCTGGAAGGGTTGGGAGCCATAGACCGGCTCTCAGGCAGATTTTCGTTTTAGCTTTAGGACGATCGCTCTGGCTCAAGGATGTGCGTGTGTGTGTGCATGGCCACGGGAAGGGCAATGAAGAGAAAAGAGCAGAAGTGGGGAGCTAGAGGGAGGCTGCTGTGCCACTCGGGCAGGGATGAAGAGGGTCCCTTCTGGGCAGTGAGCGTGACGATATGGATTGCCAGACAAATCTGTGTGACAGAAACTGGAGGAGTTGGTGATTTGTCACTGGACTTGACTGAGGAGACAGTGCAGGTGCCGTCTAGAGTCTCTAACCTAGGTGCCCCCTGAGCGTGGCACCTCCGGGTGAGACGGAGGAGCTGTTCAAGATAAGAGGAGCAGGGTCACTTTTGAACATGGTATGAGGCGCCCCTGGAGCACCCGGGGGAGCCGTTTCTGTTGTCCTTGGCGTTCTGGGACATGCCTTGTCTTTCTCTCCTGGGTCTGTGCGCTGCTGTTCCCTCCCTCCGTTGGCAGCAGTCTTCCCCTCCTCTGCCAGACTCGGGATGTTCTGGTTTCAGAGGTGGGGCAGGGAGCTTTAGCCTCCCAGCCACCCTCAGGGAATCCACGGAAGAGGCACAGCCGAAGGGAGGTGCAGACACCAGAGAAACCGGCTGATAACACCCAACACTCAAGGCCTCATCTTGAACCAGCATGTGAGCAAATGTGAAGGACTCAGGTCCCTCGCCCCTCCCTGGGCCTGGAAACCCACCGCCTTCCCGAAGCTGGCATCCATCCACTCGATGCTCTCCCTACCTAAGAGGAGAAACCACAGGCCTGGCTGAGGAGACCTTCAAGGCACCGTTTATGAGGCTGAGACAGGAGTGAGGAGCTCGCTTTGGACGGGGCGAGGCATGGGGTGGGGGGGAAGGGCCTCTGCGGTGAGATCGTGAGGTGGAGACAGTGACGACGCAGTGGCCATTTTATTGCATCTCTGCCACAAGCCCCGCCTTTGATACACAATGACACTTCCACCTCACAATCAATGACCACAACCCCGACAGCCACGAACCTCCAGGAACGGAGGCTAGGGAGGTGAAATCACTCGCCCAACTCCCCCAGCTGCTAGCACAGCGGAGGGTCCCTCCAGGTCTGTCCACAGCCCATATCCTTTCTGCCTGGCCAGCAGTTACCCTCCTCCGTGAGCAGGCCCGGGTCACCCCCATGGAAATCCCTGACGGATGTTATAGGACAGGATTGGATTTGAGGGGTTTTAGAAATGGGGCTCAGGCATCGTCAGCATGAGGTGTTTCTGAGCCTGCTGACCTGAGACACAGACAGGTAGTTCCACGGACACAAACACCCAGGTCCCAGGAGGCACGCAGTGACCTTCCCATGATGTGGATGTGTGGGAACACGTGGGTTCTTAACCACATGCCACACACCCACAGAAGGGCTGACCCTGCTGGGGCCATACACGCACTCACATATACTCAGTGTCCACATGCACCCACGCCCTGGCTCGGCTCTGGGGACGCTGAGGCAGGTATGAGAAGAAGGGCTCTGGCTCCGTCAGATGAGGCTGGCGATACTGGATGTGGTCTCGTGACGCTGTCCAGCAGACAACTGTCCTGAGATGCTGAAGATGCTGCCATGGCCACTGTGGGTGGAGGGGGCGGCCATACAGATGGAGGGGCAGTGTCCACTCACGCCGACTTGATACAGTAGCAGGCCCAGCAGCAAAAGCGAGCCCAAGGCAGCCAGAGCAATGCCCACAGACAGCATGGCGACCAGCGGCCGAGCAGGGGCAGGGGCAGCGGCCAGCCCGGCCAGCGTCAGGCCGGTGACCAGCAGCACGAGGCCACTGAGCAGCACCACGAGGGCATCGGCCCCTCCTCCACTGCGCAGCAGGGCCACATGGTGAGCCTGGCGGATGCAGTTCATGTCCTGCACGGCCGAGCTCATCAGCTGTTTCACCAGCACCAGCAGAGCCAGCAGACAGAGCACAGTGCCCGTTGCTAGCCGCCATTCACCTGAGCGGCTGCTGGTGGTTGACAGCAGTGCCACACCGCCTGCCCCACAGCCTGCCACGAGGCCCACGGCCACGAC